TTCCCCCAACCAATTCATCTAAATCATCACAAAATAGTAGGGCGGAACAGAGTCTTGTCATTCAGAGCGAAACCAGTGCCAGACGCAGTATCGTAATGCGATCTCCGACGCAGCGGGGCTGCTGCAACAAACGAGTTTCACTTCGGGCGCGGAATCTGGCCGTTTCGCTTCTTTTGTGACTCCATGCGCGGTGCAGCAAGTGCGCAGGGCGTCTGCCATCGCTGCGCCCCTCGCCGCCGCCAGCACGAACCTGCCGCTGCAGCGCTTCCTTCTCCCGCGGCAGACAGGGGACGCCCCGCCGCCTTCAGCCGGTTTTATTTTTATTTTTTTTATCATTTTAAACGTCTATCGCAATTCACAAGCGTCGGGCACGCCCCGTCGCCCGCCACCGCCGCCGCCGCCGCCGCCGTCAGCTTTTGTTCCGCGATTCCCGCCTCCTCCTCCTCCACGCCTCCCCTCGTCCTTCGCGCCTCTCTCCTTCGCTACCCTCCTCCGCTCTCTTGTCTCCCGCGCCCGTCCGTCCCCGTCGCGCTCCGTTCCGCTGACGTGGTCCGCGATAAAGGACGTGCCAGTCTTCGCTGCAATACGCCTGAGAGCGCGCCAGCTCTGCACCGGGGCTCGCCTCCTCGGCTGGAGCTCGTTACCTGCTATAATCGCATTCAGGGCTTCTGCAAATACAGCCCAGTGTGCACACGCGTGTGTCAGTGCGACGTTTGCCAGTCGGGAGGACGAAGTGGAGGACGAGGAAGAGAAGGAGGAGGACCTGGCGAAAAAGCCTATTTGCATTCGTTATACGAGCGGAATCGTAACGCTAACTCTACTCAGTGAAGAACGTGCGAAATAGCGCGAGTTAATAGCGCAAACGCCCGAAACGGTTTTCCTAGTGGAGATTTCATTTAGGCGACCCGTGTTCGCTGATTCTAACATTGCGAATCGTACATGCAATGTCGCTGAATACGCTATTTCTCACAAACTAGAACAAGGCAGCATTAACTGTTTTTCCTCGCCACTATCGCGCCATCGACCATACGTGTTTACATTTTCCGTTCCTCCCGTTCAGTAGAGCAATAACTGTTAGCTGAATTCTAGTTTATCGCACGTTCGGAGTACGGCTCAATGGGTCCATTCAACCGGTACACGTTGAAACCTTCAGTTAAACGCAACGGATTGGAACTGAGTACAAGTCTTTTTTGATCAGTATTACAGGGCCCACGATAAATTTAGCAGGTATCACAATTGAGGTATAATAATATGGAATGCATTGAAGCGGACGTGGAGCTCCATTTCAGCCCACAGAAGCGGAACACCCACTTCAAATTGCGTGCGCGTGTATCATGCGGTCCCCTTTGCGTTATTGCGCCGCACGGTGTATTCATGAGAACAATACGTCTATAAATGAGGTCTGTTAAAAGCAGGAGGCACGTTTACAAGAGAATATAATAGATTTTTCCTTGAACGAAATTGCAAATTGCAATGTAATTTTTGAATTATAAAACCATTAATTATTGAATGTAAAGTATATTTTACAAGAGTTCATCTACATATTACATTATTGTCCGAAATTAAATTTCACTTGTAGGTTAGTGCCTAATTAGTATTTGTAGTATGTAAAACCTTATTTGTATGATATATAATTCAGGTTCTAGAGTGGGGAGCCGCATTTAATTGTAACCTATACTTCTATAACAACATAATTATCATGCATATCCCTGTACATTAATCAGAACCGTTTTTAATGAAGAAAATATTTCTACACAACTTTCACAGGGGGTAGAGGCATGGTAAGATAAACATTTAGGGTTTTTATATATGAACAATTTCTATGTAGCCCAAAGTGATTGTATATGTTAAAATCAGAGCAACCGGAGTTTCTCGTTTGTGTGTTTTCATTTCGAATGGGAAGCATTGGAATGACTCTGTTTACTTTCCCTGCGATGAAAACCGTGCCCCCTACATTTATTGCGCGACAATCACATCACGACTGGAAACCGTAATGGTCGACCTTGAACACAGCGAAGTCGCACAAGGCGTCAGAGCAAGATCTCCAGGGCCTGGCAGCCTCTTGTGTCCTCAGCCCCGCTGCCTCGGGCGCCGGCCCGCCCTCCTGAGGCCGCGCTTTCTTCGCGGCGCTTTGTCCCCGCCGGGGCGCGGCTCGAGGTGTCGCTGAGTGGGGGCAACGGCCGAGTGGAGACCCTTTCGCTGAACAAGAGCCTCTGCACCAGATGCACGGAGGTGGTGTGTGTGTGTGTGTGTGTGTGTGTGTGTGTGTGTGTGTGTGTGTGTGTGCGCGTGTGAGCGTGAGTGTGTGTGTGTGTGTGTGTGTGTGTGTGTGTGTGTGTGTGTGCCCGCGCGCGTACCACCCTGCCATTTCGTGTAATTCAATCACAGTGAGACAAAAATATAGAAAACTCAAGCGTTGGATTCCTTAAACTGATTAATGGCTCCCAAGTTTGCAAATAATCTGCTTACCTCAGGAAACGTATATTAAGATCGTCATTCTTTAGCCTCATTGCCAGAATTTTACCGGGAATATACGAATAGGAAAACTTGAAGTAAAAGTATAAAATCGAGTAATAAATAAAGAACAATTTTCTTTCAGGCGAAGAGAGATTTTTCACGAGAAGTTATATATTCTTTCCAGTGATATGAAATGCTATCGAACGTGAAATCACTCCTAAAAGTTACTGACAGAGACCAAAATTAACATTCCAATGACATCTAAATATTTTTCTACAAAGGCAATTAAGACATCCAATTAATAGAAAATGTATATGTGAAACCACAGTAAAAAAATAAAGGCAGACTATCGTTCTGTAGATGGCACGTTACGCTAAACATATTCACACAATGCACTATCACCATTCTAAACCCGTGTCAAAGAATGTCGACTATCTTTATTACACTTAAGACAACTGCCTTAGAGACTGAACGCAATACACTTTCACTGTTGGTTGCGTTATTAATCTTCCTACACCACACTGCCTTTGTCTACATTCAGCACAGGGCTGTTTACTTCAGCCCCGAGTCCCGCGCCTTCCACCTGCAAGCAGCTCCCTTCCAGCAGCGCTATCTGCTTCAATTAATCGACCTCAAGCGATCAGCGCGTTAGCCCTCAAGGGCGCGATGCAGGGCTCAAACCGGGGCGCTTTAAAGCCGCGCCTAATACAATCTTCATATTTCTCCACTCGTTATCCCGATAGCCCGGTCGACCGGCGCAGGAGCAACGCAAGTAGACTGCTACGTCGCGTGATCGAGGCACTAGACGGCGGGTGAAAGTGGTTGTGGTTATGGAAGTGGTAGAAGCTTCAGTTGCGTTGCAGGCGGGAGGGCAAGGCAGTAACTGTAGTGATGGGGTTGGGAGGAAACATAGTGGTTAAGAAGGGAATTATTTGATAATGTTATTCAGGGGAGATGGAGCTACAGGATGAGGCAAAGGGAGAGTTACAAGATTTCGTACAGAAGGAGAGTTTTGGAGGGGATTGTTAGATAGTGTTGAAACAGTGGATGAAACTAGAGTTCATGTAACATTGTTAAAGAAGAACGTGAAAACGTGGAGGCCATTTTACCGCTCGAAGGAGCACTAAATGCGGCGACAGTGCTAAGAAAAAAGGAAATAGAAGTGGAATGCAGAGATTTACTTGGAGGGAAAAAATAGTACAGCATATTCTTTTAACGACACAGACAGGGGTCAGTGGCTTACGAAGGTTTAAAAACAAGGTCGCAAAGAGTATTGAAACTGATATTTGTCGCCCTTTAAAACAGAGCTTACCCTTCTAAAATTGTGTCGCATTTTATTGATGAATACGAGAATACAAGATTTTTGCCCTAAACGAAATATTTAATGACGCAAACATTTCCTCAAACCACTCTCAGCCGTCAATTCGACGTCTGCAGCAGGGAACGGCGCAGGGGCAACGCCAGTAGATTGTCAGCACTCACAGCCACGCTGGGACTTGAGAGCCGAGCGGCATTACGCCGGCGATGGCGGCGAAGGCGGAGTAAGTTTCCAGAGGGTGGTAATCGGCGTCGGGGGGTGGGCGGCGACGGCGTGACCAAGGGCCGTTTGCGCGCGCTATCTACCCCGACGACAGATCCGCCCGCTCGTCGTCGCCGCCGCCGCCGCCGCCGCCGCCACCATTCCCGTTACGCATTTCAGTCGCCGCTCGCCAAGAGCGCGCGCCGGCCGCTCCCCACATACAAATGTAGAAATTAGCCGTATCGCGGGACGGCGGACCCCACCGCCGCCGCCGCCGCCGCCACGGTCGCACTACCCCGCCTCCGCCGCCTTCGTCGCAGTTGTGATCCGCGCCAGCGATACGTTCCACTCGAATTTGTTCCGAGCGCGCTGACCGAGGGAGCAGCCAGGGCCGGAAAGGTCTACGGGGTGGGGGGAGAGCAACCCTCCCGCAGACGCACGGGGCCCTTTCGTGTCATATTTCAAGATACACGCCTCGCGCGCCGGAGAGCTCCGCCCGGCGCGAGGGTCACTCGCACGCGTGATTTACGACGACGCGTCGCGAGGCCCGATGCCGCGGCCCAATCAAAGGCGCGGGAACGGGGAAGGACAAGTGAACACGTTTCCACGCATGTCTCCGTTACGGCTACTATTGGTGAGATCACGCACTAATACGAGTTACTTAAAACTAAAACTTCATTTAGATCTGAAGAAGGTATACGTCTTACTCCCGAAACGTCATCTTTGCAACGTCTCTTGGACAGCCAAGATTGAGTCTTCAACATAGGTTACTGGTGTTTGTGTGTGTGCTTGATAGAAGACGGTTTACGAACTACGCTAAATATTGCCCTGCAAATAGACCGAAGAGTATAATATTTGAATCAAAGAAGGTCTGTACATGTTAAAACTTGATACGAAATAGACTAGATGATACTTCATTGAAACAGATTACCTTACTTCTCTATTGGTGGGAAAATGTGGAATAGCAATAAGAATTATCTGAATTATGTGGCTTACCTTAAGATCTGTTGATATTTTAACTTACCAGAATACATCAAATCATTATTTTCTAGACTGTTGTATGCGTAGGATCAGAACATACCTGAAACAGAAAGAAAACAACGGTAATCTTAGCCAACGTATTTTTAAGCACAGTATAAAAACAGTATCCAACCATGAAAAATAAGTGTATCATTATCGATCGCAACTCTTATGTGTCTGTTATATAAATAAATAAAATGCAATATATTTTAAGAACATGTTTTAAACTGTTAAATGAAAACAGAAAACACTGTTTAATTTGAGATGTACCATTCCGACGAAAATGCTCTTCACTTAGAATTCATTTCCATTCTCGCAGCATACGAGTACAAAGCGCTAAAAGAAAACGCCTTTTCACGCCAGGCGCTAGCAAGGTTTGTCAATGCTTTAGGAAGACAAAATATTTCACAATTACTACCAGCATAATTTAGCACGTTCCGTGATACATTTCGAAAGACACATTTCAGATTTTCTTGCGCCGAAGCGACAATATTCACGGGTGGCCAGAAAGTGCACGAAACAGCACAGGCCTCGAAACCCCCGCCGTCCGCCCGGGCGCCCTCTTTCCGCCAGGCACCCTCCCCATCGGAGCAGGCGGCGCCACCGCTCTTTTATCCAGCGAGATGCATATTTTCCTGTTACTGCAAGTGTGTCTACAAAGGAACATCTTAACCCTCCTGCGCTGTAAATTTCGAGCCCCGCGGAGGCGGCCTCCGGCGCGGCGAACGGAGGCATAGGGCGCCCGCGGGGCCAAAGCGGAAGCGTGGCGACGGGGGTGGGGGGAGGGGAGGGGAAGGAGAGCCCGAAGCTCCGCGGTGGAGGCGGTGGAAGAAGCGGCAATCACGTGAATGAGTCGAAAGCCACTAAATGCATAAAACCAGATTTATTTATACGACAAACACAAGACGCTGTGATGCAGACAATTGAGGCGCTCCGAATAATAATGGCAGATCCCAAGAAGTTCCGTTTTGAGAAAAAAAAGTCGTTTTCTGTCTAGATTACGTTTATTTTCACTCCACGCAAAGTTTTGAAGGTGGAATATGTGGGTTTTGTCATAACTGAATTCATTTGATATTTCAGTACACGATAGCTATATGATATACGCTTACCGTCATACTTCTAGTTGAAAATACGATACGTCGGTTAGGATCTGCCTTTACCACCCTGAGCGGCTGTATTTTTGAACACGCATTGTTTAATGTTAATGAAGTAATTTATAATAATCTACTACTCATAATAATAAATTACTAATTGTCATAATTTATCGAATCAAAAAATAAGTTATAGAAACTACAATCGCGAAGGTCGGACTTGTAAACGTAGACAACAAGGCAATGAAAACAAAGACAACGCAGTACCGGGGTACAATAATGGTTAGACACGCGAAAAAATGTAGTTTATCAGTACTTCGCGGATGTGGAAAAAGTGACGGTAGAGAAGACCAAGTTGAAACTGGATCTGCTCCGGCAATTCAAATTGGATAAAAATTTCTAGAAACGGACTCAAAGTAATCACAACAGACGGCTGCCGCTGCTGCCTGGCAATGGGTACCACGAGAAAGGCTACAGGACACGCACGAGAGACGATGTGAGAAAGTAGTGTGCAGAAGAGTCATTCGTACGCCGCTGATCCTCCATAAAGCTCCGACCCAACCCCAGAGCCATCCAGTTCAAACAAGCACACAATATTTTCTGCACGCTTGACTCCCGGTTACGCAAGCAAAGTGTTGATACGCCGCGTGCGCCCGCCGCCGCAATCTGCTTCCGCGAGT